CTTATTTATTTGTATTTCTTAAAATGCAATTTGTAACAATTTCTATATTTTAATACTCGAAATCCGTCGTACAAGTGTGAGAAAGGATGCTATGGTGAATATGTTAAATGCTGGCTCGTTTGCGAAGGTGGGTTTGTTGATTTCTTCCTTGAAGCCGCCAGGAAAGGTGATGGAAGTGCTGAAAGCGACTGTGGCTATGAGAGCTGCCACAATGGACCATGACTTGGAGGTGCTGATGAGCCATTTGTCTCCACTCTGGATGAGACCTTTGTGACTTTCACTGAATATGTCCCTTGCCGTCTGTCCCTGTCCATTGTAGGGTGCAAAGGAGTCCAATGGCATGGATTCCTTGACGAACTGCATTACAAACAAAACAAATAGTTTTTTTTGTCCCAAGAAAGTAGTAAAAACATAATTGATCACCAATTATGGAGAGTGACTTTCACTGCCACCTGAACTCCTGTCGAGCACCAACACTGATACAAAAATATAATTCTTCAAAAAATTGATACCTCGTACCACTTGATTTCCCATTGCATCTGCAATGCGGAACCAGGTATAAGCCAAGGCCGATGATCTCCCAGCTTCGCAGCAAGATGCAAAGCACTATTCCCATCGATGTCTACCTTCCGAAAAATGTCTTCTTTTATTGTAATCTTTTCGAGTAAAAACCTGTAAACATGAGGCTGCCTATTTTCCACCGCCAACAATACTATGTTCTTCTTCTTGCTTGTGTTCATGTCATTTATAGCCTCCGGAAAAAATTTAATAATCTTTTCCACCATCTCGACCACACCATTCTTTGCAGCAACAAGTAGTGCTGTCTCCCCCTTTTCAATTCCCTGCATCTTTTTTTTGATACCTGCGTGGCCCCAAAATAGGTTTGAATGAAAATAATGAATGTCCAAGACATCTTTTTGCCTAGTTAGACGATAAAAACAATGCACAGACGGAATTTTTATGCACTTCAGTGGATAGAGGTAGACATAATGCCTAAATTGAAACAAAAAGGAACAAAAGGTTTCAATTATTAAATGAAAAATCGGCAAAGATAGGGGTGACTAACCGTATTTTAACACAAAATTTAAATAAATAAGATTTTACAAGGAGTGGTTCGTAGAGAGAAAAAGCAATAATTGGTTACCATTTCCATTGGTGCCCTTTTTTCTATCCACTCCATCGCTAGTTTGGGGTGTCTGATCATCACCCGGCTTGGAAATATCTCCTGCAAGAGGAACTGAGGAAGGAATTTCTACATCGCGTTTATGCGACATAAAACGTTGGGGACTCTCTCCATTATTTTCGTACTCATTGGTAGAAGCTCGTTTAAGAAGTGCATCCATGATTTTGACTGACCAAATGTGCTTTTCTTTTTTTTCGCGTAGCTTTACTATGTCATGAGACCCTGGTCACGCAGTGAGGGAAAATATACACATTAAGTCCTCAACAATTGTGAACTTTGTATTGATTACTGGTTAATTAGGAGGTTACTTAAGCCAAGAATAACCAACATTGATTTGGATATGAGTTTAATGACATTAAAGCACGTGACATAATTAGGAGGAAGGTGTGAACGCCCATGATGAGTATCAGGTTGCTGTCCTCTGGGATCATTTACATGTGACTTTTCATTATTCCCATATTTAGTACTAGATTGCTGTCTTTGTAAATCAGGTTGCTTTCCTTTAGGATTTTCTTCATCTGTTATCCCCTTGTTCTCATTTTTACTACGACCAATTTCTGTTTTAAAAAAAAAAAAGGTTAGAAAGAAAAGAAAATGGTGTACTCTTACACGAATATATGGTTCAATATCTCACGTACGCAATATAAAGTAAAAGAATTTTTTACTTGGCACTCGAAATATTTTGCTCACTAAACCAGCAAATCCAATGCAGGTTTGATAGTTTTCTGGATACATTGCTTTGGTATCATATTGCAAGCCTTGTGACGATTCGTGCTTTGGGTCTATGTCCTCGCGTTCATCGACATATATACCTTTCAAAATAATTATATAATTTTGAGTTATTTGCAGGAAAAAATTCCGATGTTTATGATCCTTTCGAGAGGTAAAGGGAGACTTACAGCAGTAAATAAGTCTGCGAAACCCTCTAATATAACTTCCACTTCTGAATGCAGAAGGGATACATGCCAGAAGATGAAGTAAATTGCTCCATCCTCGGTGACGGCGTTAATTAGATCCGGGTAGAACTGAATTATAGTAAATGCTAACTCTGTCCATAAAACAAAGAAAACGAGATGAACTTCCCTTGTTAAATAATCTAAATGCGCACACAAATTTATTTGAAACAAGGCCTTTGTTTATGGAAGCTTGACTCACGAAAATATTCTCCAGAAATGGCAGAATGCAGAATTGTCTCTCCATTTTTCTTCTTACAGTACGAGTAGCCTTTGTCTGTCCCACAAATGTCATGTAAGCAACTAAAAGCTTCCCTCTTGCCGTTTAAAACTGCCTGGAAGAAAGGAGTCTCTCCATCCTTATTATGTTCCCCAATTAGTGTCGGGTTGTGACCAGCAATGAGTCTGCACATCGTTACATTCCCAAGGGAGGCGGCCAAATGAAGAGGCGTATTTCCGAGCTCATTCCCAGTTTCTAAAACAACACAGGCATTTTGATTTTTTTCGGAAATCTCTTGCATTAGTTGTTCGACAATGGTTTCTTTGCCGCATGATATGGCTATATGTAACGCAGTGTCTCCTGATCTGGTGATCTTGGCTTCGTGAGCCCATGGATGTTGTGCATATGTTTCGATCACTTCATTCCATTCGCGATTCATGGCATTTTTGAACAATTTTTTCTTGATTTCCTCCTGCCGAGAAATAGAAGAGAAACTTTGCTCAGAAATTGGTTTCTGGACAGTTTCCATTTCTACTTTTTTTTCTCTCTCTCTTTTTTCCTCTCCAACTATGAGTGATCTTGGCTTTGTGAGCCCATGTATGTTGTGCATATGTTTCGATCACTTCATTCCAATTGAGATTCATGGCATTTCTGAACAATTTTGTCTTGATTTCCTCCTGCCCAGAAATAGGAAAGAAACTTTGCTCAGAAATTAGTTTCTGGACAGTTTCCATTTCTACTTTTTTTTTTCCTCTCTTTTTTCCTCTCCAACTATGCATGAGAAAGTGAATGAAAGTAAAATGGATATATATAAACACAAGCCTAAGAATCAGAATTTCACTTTTATTATTCCTCTCTCTTTCACATTTTGTCATATTCAAGGAAATATAATTATTATAGCAGAAATAACGTGGAGTTACACTATTTAAACTTCATATCCCTGGAAAAGCCAAAAAAAAAATGTCAAAAATCAAAAAAGGATTCTGTTTACAAAGTGGGATTCCAAGAAAAAGAGAATTAAAATGAAGAAACTTCCTTGTCGGATGAAAATTTGATCAGATCCAATCACACTTTAAAGAAAGAAAGAAAGAAATAAATAAAGATCATTTGGCTTCCTTGAGTGTAAATAAATTCTGTAAAAAGCAATAAAGATCATTTGGCTTCTTTGAGTGTAAATAAATTCAGAAAAAGAGGAGGAATACTGTACTTTAGTTTTCTTATTTAAGAGCTTTTTACTTTTTCTCCTACCACGTTCAACACACCGACCACGCTCTACAAGCTAACATAGTCGGATAGGAAATAAGACAAAAAAATTAAAATTTTGGGAACCATATATTTATTCTTCAAATACGTCGGGCTTTCCGAAAATCTTGGAACATTTTTACGGGTTCGTGGCCAACCATAGGAGCATGACCGAGGACATCTGCAAGTCTCTAATTCTTAACGCGACTCTGTTAAACCGCGTAAGGTTATCATATAGAAACTCATCCTTCCCCTGTATGACATGCATCTCACTACAACAAAAATGAGTTTTTGACGACCATCACCTTCATGTAACTTGAGATGGTTACAACCTAGCAATTTTTTCTCGACTCACACTACAACAAAAATAGGCTTTGACAACACTTAAAAGGCAACTTTCATTGATTAAATGTTGCTAAAAGGGTCAATTGCAACGTTCATGTGAGTGAATGTTGCTAAAATGACCTATTACAACGTTTTTCAAATGAACGTTGCGAAAAGTGACCCTTCGCAACGTTAGCGGACCGTTGCTAAAAGTGACACTTTTCACAACGTTCATTGAACGTTGCGAAAAGTCTCACTTTTAGCAACTTCTTCTATCGTTGTTTTCCCTCACTCACTGCTCCGCCTCCAACTTCGACCGGACCAGCAACCAGGCGACTTCTTCTCCTTCGAAGAAGAAAATGATGGAGACGAAGATGATGACTCCGAGACTGAAAAAGTTCATAACCACTTCTAAAACCTGCAAATCGAAGAGCCCGATGAGGGAGCTGAGGCTGAGCACTCGAAGCTTGCTGATGGGTATTGATACTGGTGGGTTTCGCGAATTTCTTCCTTTTTAGCTGATTTTGTGTATGTTTGATGATTTTGGGGTTTTCTGGACTGTGAAAATTGAAGGGCCAAGTGCAGTATTTTTTAACCAGTTAAATTTTCTCGATGATTTCTGTTGTATTTTCATTTCTGTTATGCTGCTTTTGAAGGAGATTCTCTTGGTTGGCATTTTNATGTTAAATGCTGGCTCGTTTGCGAAGGTGGGTCTGTTGATTTCTTCCTTGAAGCCGCCAGGAAAGGTGATGGAAGTGCTGAAAGCGACTGTGGCTATGAGGGCTGCCACAATGGACCATGACTTGGAGGTGCTGGTGAGCCATTTGTCTCCACTCTGGATGAGACCTTTGTGACTTTCACTGAATATGTCCCTTGCCGTCTGTCTCTGTCCATTGTAGGGTGCAAAGAAGTGCAATGGCATGGATTCCTTGACGAACTGCATTACAAACAAAACAAATAGTTCTTTTTGTCCCAAGAAAGTAGTAAAAACATAATTGATCACCAATTATGGAGAGCGAGTTTCACTGCCACCTGAACTCCTGTTGAGCATCAACACTGATACAAAAATATAATTCTTCAAAAAATTGATACCTCGTACCACTTGATTTCCCATTGCATCTGCAATGCGGAACCGGGTATAAGCCAAGGCCGATGATCTCCCAGCTTCGCAGCAAGATGCAAAGCACTATTCCCATCGATGTCTACCTTCCGAAAAATGTCTTCTTTTATTGTAGTCTTTTAAAGTAAAAACCTGTAAACATGAGGCTGCCTATTTTCCACTTCCAACAATAATATGTTCTTCTTGCTTGTGTTCATGTCAATTAGAGCCACCGGAAAAAGTTTAATAATCTTTTCCACCATCTCGACCACACGATTCTTTGCAGCAAAAAGTAGTGTTGTCTCCCCCTTTTCAATTCCCTGCATCTTTTTTTGTTACCTGCGTGGCCCCAAAATAGGTGTTTCAATTATTAAATGAAAAATCGGCAAAGATAGGGGTGACTAACCGTATTTTAACACAAAATTTAAATAAATAAGATTTTACAAGGAGTGGTTCGTAGAGAGAAAAAGCAACAATTGGTTACCAGTTCCATTGGTGCCCTTTTTTCTATCCACTCCATCGCTAGTTTGGGGTGTTTGATCATCACCCGGCTTGGAAATATCAGCCGGGATTTCTGCAACAGGAACTGAGGAAGGAATTTCTACATCGCGTTTATGCGACATAAAACGTTGGGGACTCTCTCCAGTATTTTCGTACTTATTGGTAGAAGCTCGTTTAAGAAGTTCATCCATGATTTTGACTGACCAAATGTGCTCTTCTTTTTTTTCGCGTAGCTTTACTATGTCATGAGACCCTGGTCACGCAGTGAGGGAAAATATACACATTAAGTCCTCAACAATTGTGAACTTTGTATTGATTACTGGTTAATTAGGAGGTTACCTAAGCCAAGAATAACCAACATTGATTTGGATATGAGTTTAATGACATTAAAGCACGTGACATAATTAGGAGGAAGGTGTGAACGCCCATGATGAGTATCAGGTTGCTGTCCTCTGGGATCATTTACATGTGACTTTTCATTATTCCCATATTTAGTACTAGATTGCTGTCTTTGTAAATCAGGTTGCTTTCCTTTAGGATTTTCTTCATCTGTTATCCCCTTGTTCTCATTTTTACTACGACCAATTTCTGTTTAAAAAAAAAAAAAGGTTAGAAAGAAAAGAAAATGGTGTACTCTTACACGAATATATGGTTCAATATCTCACGTACGCAATATAATGTAAAAGAATTTTTTACTTGGCACTCGAAATATTTTGCTCACTAAACCAGCAAATCCAATGCAGGTTTGATAGTTTTCTGGATATGTTGCTTTGGTATCATGTTGCGAGCCTTGTGACAAATCGTGCATTGGGTCTATGTCCTCGGGTTCATGGACAAATATACCTTTCAAAATAATTATATAATTTTGAGTTATTTGCAGGAAAAAATTCCGATGTTTATGATCCTTTCGAGAGGTAAAGGGAGACTTACAGCAGTAAATAAGTCTGCGAAACCCTCTAATATAACTTCCACTTCTGAATGCAGAAGGGATACATGCCAGAAGATGAAGTGGTGTTGCTCCATCCTCGGTGACGGCGTTAATTAGATCCGGGTAGAACTGAATTATAGTAAATGCTAAATCTGTCCATAAAACAAAGAAAACGAGATGAACTTCCCTTGTTAAATAATCTAAATGCGCACACAAATTTATTTGAAACAAGGCCTTAGTTTATGGAAGCTTGACTCACAAAAATATTCTCCAGAAATGGCGGAATGCAGAATTGTCTCTCCATTTTTCTTCTTACAGTACAGGTAGCCATTTTCTGGCCCACAAATGTTATGTAAGCAAAGAAAAACATCCCTCCTGCCGAATAAAAATGCCTGGAAGAAAGGAGTCTCTCCATCCTTATTACGTTCCCCAATTAGTGTCGAGTTGAAACCAGCAATGAGTCTGCACATCTTTACATTCCCAAGGGAGGCGGCCAAATGAAGAGGAGTATTTTTGAGTTCATTGCCAGTTTCTAAAACATCACAGGCATTTTCCTTTTTTCCCAAAATCTTTTCCATTAGTTGTTCGACAATGGTCACTTGGCCGTCTGATATGGCTATATGTAACGCAGTGTCTCCTGATCGGGTGATCTTGGCTTTGTGAGCCCATGGATGTTGTGCATATGTTTCGATCACTTCATTCCATTCGCGATTCATGGCATTTCTGAACAATTTTTTCTTGATTTCCTCCTGCCAAGAAATAGAAGAGAAACTTTGCTCAGAAATTGGTTTCTGGACAGTTTCCATTTCTACTTTTTTTTCTCTCTCTCTTTTTTCCTCTCCAACTATGCATGAGTAAATGAATGAAAGTAAAATGGATATATATATAAACACAAGCCTAAGAATCAGAATCACTTTTATTATTCCTCTCTCTTTCACATTTTTGTCATATTCAAGGAAATATAACTATTATAGCAGAAATAACGTGGAGTTACACTCTTTAAACTTCATAGCCCTGGAAAAGCCAAAAAAAAAAAAGACAAAAAACAAAAAAGGATTCTGTTTACAAAGTGGGATTCAAAGAAAAAGGGAATTAAAATAAAGAAACTTCCTTGTCGGATGAAAATTTGAACAGATCCAATCACACTTTAAAGAAAGAAAGCAATAAATAAATAAATAAAGATCATTTGGCTTCCTTGAGTGTAAATAAGTTCTGTAAAAAGAAATAAAGATCATTTGGCTTCTTTGAGTGTAAATAAATTCAGAAAAAGAGGAGGAATACTGTACTTTAGTTTTCTTATTTAAGAGCTTTTTACTTTTTCTCCTACCACGCTCTACAAGCTAACATAGTCGGATAGGAAATAAGACAAAAAAATTAAAATTTTGGGAACCATATATTTATTCTTCAAATACATCGGGCTTTCCGAAAATCTTGGAACATTTTTACGGGTTCGTGGCCAAACATAGGAGCATGACCGAGGACATCTGCAAGTCTCTAATTCTTAACGCGACTCTGTTAAACCGTGTAAGGTTATCATATAGAAACTCATCCTTCCCCTGTATGACATGCATCTATTTAGTCGGCATTTTCTTCTTTCATAGGCTACTAGAGATGGAGTTACAAATTTATTCACGAAATCTGTGAAAGATGCAATTGACCTTGGAGGAAGCATGTTCTACCATCCTTGCATGTCCTTCCTTGGTGTTGGAGTGAATGCCTGACACTTGAACACATCATGCATCCCGTGCATCCCCACTAGATCTTAGAATCTGTTGTAAGGCTATCAAATTTCTTGAATTTGAGATTTATGAACTTAGGCGACAACATAACTAACATACCCAAACTTAATACTTTATGCATTTTCATCATGTGTCGTAGGGTATTAGTGGTGTATTATTGGCACTTGATGTAAAACTTATGCAAGGATTAAAAAGGGGGAAAACTTCACAGAGAGAGAGGGAAGAAGATGGGAAACGTATTTCTCACTTACTTATCAAAAAGGAGATTACAATACATATATATATACACAAGCATTGGACAACTCAGCTTAACTAACTCTAACAGAATTCAAGTAAAGAATAAAAGGCAAAGAATAAAAATAATCTTATAGATATTATATTCAAGACTCCCCCTCAAGATGGTTTATGAATATTCAAGACACCCATCTTGTCTAAGAGCATGCGAAATATGACTCCCCCTAAAGCCTTTGTTAGTAGGTCTGCAAGCTGGTTTTGCGTTGACAGATACATGGTCTTGATGTCTCCTGCTTGTATCCTTTCCCTCACCAAATGACAATCCAATTATATGTGTTTTGTCCTTTCGTGGAATACTGGGTTATTGGCTATATGCATAGCAGCTTGATTGTCACAAAAAAAAGTGCAGCCTTAGAATGATTAACTCCCAGATCAAGCAATATTTTCTTGAGCCAGATGATTTCACAGACTGCTGCAGCCATAGCCCGGTATTCTGCCTCAGCTAATGATCTTGAGATGGTATGTTGCTTCTTCGAATGCCAAGATATCAAGGAGCTACCAAGGAAGATGCAAAATCTCGTAACCGACCTCCTAGTATCTACACATGATGCCCAATCAGCATCACAGAAGCCCTTGAGTTCAAGAGTAGAATCTGCAGCAAAGAACAAGCATTGCCCTGGTGTTCCTTTTACATATCTCAGAACGTGATGTGCTGCCTCTAGGTGTAGCCTTTTAGGACATTCTAGGTATTGGCTCAAAACCTGTACTGAAAAGGATAAATCTGGCCTTGTAATTGTCAAGTATAACAGTCTTCCAATCAATCTTCTGTACATTCCTGGATCATCAAGTGGCTCCCCCTTATCCTTAGTCAGTTACAACATGGGAAATTTAGCAGGCTTTGATCCTAAAAAACCTGCATCCTCAAGAACCTCTAATGCATATTTTCGCTGACAAACAGTAATACCCTTTGGAGACCTTGCCACTTCAAGTCCTAGAAAGTATTTTAGAGTTCCCAAACCCTTCAACTTAAAATGGCTATCAAGACTTCTTTTAAAATGTTCGATATATACCAAATCATTCCCCCCTATGATGATATCATCAATATAAATAAGAAGGACAGTACAAGAGCAGCTAGTGTGTTTACTGAAAAGAGAGTAATCTGATTTGGATTGAGCAAATCCTTCAGAGATAATGAAGGATGACAATTTTGTGTCCCATTGCCATGAAGCCTGTTTCAATCCATAGATAGATTTATTCAGTTTGCACACCAACATTTCGCCATTATCCCCCTGTTGCTAATACCCTGGTGGCAGTTTCATATACACGTCTTCTTCAAGATCCCCATGAAGAAAGGCATTATTTATATCCAGTTGATGTAAATACCAATTTCTGCTAGCAGCAACAACAAAGAGAGCTTTAACAGAAGCTAACTTAGCTATAAGGGAAAAGGTCTCCTAATAATTGTGCCCAGCCTGTTGAGTAAAGCCCTTAGCAACTAATCATGCTTTCTTCATTTCCTCAGTGCCATCCTATTTCAATTTTATCTTATAGACCCACTTACAATCCACAGGTTTCTTATCTGCTGGAAGAGGGGTGATGGTCCAGGTATTGTTGGCAACTAAAGCCTGGTATTCATCCTCCATAGCTTGACACCAGGCAGGCGACTGAGAGGCCTCCAGAAAGTTTCTAGGTTCAACATTTGTTGAAAGTGACTTCACATAAGCCCTGTGGTCAGCTGAAAGAGAGTCATATCCCAATGTGTTGGAAAGATCATAAAGGTTTACAGGGTCAAAAGCATGAACGGCAGACTGTTGTTTGGAAACTAAGTTGCAGTGAAATTGTTGCAGATAACTAGGAGCCTTTCTAGGTCTAGTAGATCTGTGGATTGGGCTAATATGAGGAGAGGAATGGGAAGGTATAGTCAGAGATAAATGTGGCAATGAAGAAGGAGATGATACTGATGGAGAACTTGGATTGGAAGAAGTAGGAGGTAAGGATATTGAAGTGGAATGTGGAGCTTGCAAGGGAAAATGTAGGTCCAATATGGGAAGGTATTGAGAAGGAAAGAGAGGAGTATGTAAAGATTGATTGGAAACGTTGTCAAGCTGATGAAAAGAGTTTAGTAAAGCAGGATCATGAAATGGAAATATATTTTCATGAAAGACCACGTCCCTAGACACAAATATAGTGTTTGTGTTCAAGTTATATAACTTGTATCCTTTCTGGTTGGGTAGATAACCAATGAAAAGACAAGGAACTGCCTTGGGATCAAACTTTAATCTGTGTCTTTGTAAGGTAGAGGCATAAAAAAGAAAGCCAAAGACTCTCAAGTGGGAGTAAACAGGGTTTTCTAAAAATAAGATCTCATATGGTGATTTGTTTGACAAGGTGGTGCTTAGTATACGATTGATAAGGTAAGTAGCAGTCAAGACACATTCACCCCAGAATTGATTTGGGAGTTTAGCTTGAAATTTCAATACTCTAGCAACATTTAACTGATGTTGATGTTTACGTTCCACAATGCCATTTTGTTGTGGTCTCTCAACACAACTTCTTTGATGCACTACCCCTTTGGAATTATAAAAGTCATTTAGGGCAAATTCAGCACCATTATCTGATCTTATGGTTTTAATTTTGGTGTTGAATTGTGTCTCTGTCATATGAAAGAAGGTTTGTATGAGCTGTTTGGTCTGTGATTTAGTTCTCATCGAAAAAGCCCAGGTACATCTACTATAGTCATCCACTATGGTTAGGAAATATTGTGAACCATCAAGAGAATGAGCTTGATAGGGGCCCCAAATCAATGAATGAGCTCAAAAATAGATTTAGAAATATGCATACTATCAGGAAAAGGAAATCGATGCTGTTTTGCCATAGGACAAATAGTACAATGAAAATCAGAATTGGATACAATCGCAGGTGCAGATTTATGTAAAAGTGAGACCTTAGAGTAAGGCGCATGTCCTAACCTATAGTGCTACGGTTCAAAAGACATGTCAGCACCAGCAGTAAGGTTAGGAACATCATGATTATTCATGATGTTATTACAATGACCATTGACAGATAAAAAAGTATTTGTGTGAAACTGATGAAAGGTGGATCGAGTAGTAGGAAAAGGTCCATTGCTTGAGGAAGTTTTGAACTGAAAGTGATACAGGCCAGCCTCAAGTTTCCCCACTCCAATCATAGTCCCTGTAGACAGGTCCTGAATGAAGCAATGATTGAACAGAAAAATTAAACAGCAATGATGGGAAAAAATAAGTTTGTTGGCTGAAATAAGATTGCATTTGAATGAAGGAACAGACAACACATTAGTTAATAACAGAGTATCAGACAGATTCACAGTGCCTATGTGAGTCACTTTAGTTGTCTCTCCATTAGGAAGTTTGACATTTGCATTTACTACAGTAGTAATATCAGTTAAAAGATCAATGGAGCACACCATATGGTATGTCGCCCCGTGTCAATAATCCATTTTTCCTTTACCTCTGAGACAGCTAGACAGAAATTGTTACCTGAGAAAGTTGTGAAATCAGGCATATTTGGGACTTGAGGTGAGGAGATTTGTGTGTCATCATGTTGGTTAATCAACAGATTGTTCTGATTCTGATTTGTAGTAACCCTTGGTTGTATACTCAAATTTGAGAATCGACCTTGGAGATGTGGTTTTAGCATATTGAGAACCTGTTGGCATTGCTCTGGTGTAATAGTCAGATTGGAGTATGGATTAGATGAATTCGAAGATATGATTCTAGGCACTTGATTTGCACTTGGAATAGATCCTCTGCCTTTGTCTTTTGCCAACTTGTGCCCTGGAGGATATCTATGAAGTT